AACACCTGATTCCAATAATTTGGATGGGTGAGCAAATACTTTTGGCAATATAGTGTATATTATATTTCAAAGCCAATAAAGAGAATCTAGCATAAGAGAAATATGAACTCTCTTTTTTAATTTTCATCAGAACCCTGCCTTCAGCATTTTGGATAAGCTAAAAGCTGATAGTAAAGAATTACAGTAGTCCAGCCTTAAAGTAACACATGCATGGACTAGTTTCTTAGCATCACCCCTGGACAGGATACTTCTAACTTTTGGAATATTCTACTGTAGACAGGTCCTGATCCTGAAATAAGGATCAATCCTGATCCTAAAATAAACGCATTTTATTTTTTTTCACTTTATTATCTGAGATCAATTTAATCCTGACTAAACCTGACTAATCAGATTATTTTTTTAAAGACTCTCGTCCAGCAACAACAATTTCCGTGTTGTCTGCATTCAGAAGCAGAAATTCAGAGTCATCTAGGTTTTTAGGTCGCCAAGACATGCCTGTTCTCTATGTAATGGGTTAATTTCATCTGCATTTATAGACATGTATAGCTGAATATCATCAGCATAACAGTTGAAATTAATCTTAAGTTGTCTACCAATTATATCAATTGGGAGCCTATGATAAACAGAATTGGCCATCGCACTGATCCCTGTTGTACTCCACAGGTAACCCTGGAGCTGCAGGGAGATTTTTAATTAATGTCAACAAACCATCCTGTTATTTTCATATAGATGTCTATATATATAGATATATATATAGATGTCTAGATTTATCTATTCAATCTACATGCAGAATGCCTCATTTGAATGCGTGCAATCACATAATAAGACATTTTTTCTCACGAACAGGATGGTGTAGTTTGCTCTTTGCTGTAAACAAAAAAAGCTTTGACTGTCTCCATTGATAAACTTTGTGTCATACATCCATTTCAAATGAGCATGTTAAAAATCATCATTGTCATATGAAAGTTTGATTAATACATTTTGTAGCCCTTGAGCAATAAACCAGTGTAACTGGAGATTCGTGATTGAATCCTGAGTGACAACATAAAAGTCTGAATGTCTCATACTTCATATTTTATGCTTGTTTTATGCTTTATGCTATCCCTCCAGTTTGAAATAAAATGTTTCAGTCTGTGACAAAAGGGAAAAAATGACTAAAACACAGACTACGTGGTAAATAGGGCACAGCTAGAGACTTTGTCTGAATAATGATAGATAGGTTCAAAAAGTATAACCTACTTAATGTGACATCAAAGAAAATGTGGCCTTCTTTTACGCTTCTCTGTTTATAAATCTTTCCCCAGGAAAACTTCGAGACGACTCTCTGAAAAACAAGGTCACAGGGCTGACGAAGTCACTCAGCTTTGACCATGTTTGTGAGCAGGATGCTGAAACTGGAAGCCAAACTGGCTCGGTTCCAGGAGACAAAATGACTCCCGTTGGAGAGGGGTCTTTTCTAGGGTCCCTTATTAGCCGCAGACACAAAAAGCATCTGGAACCAGCCGGGACTCTGCCGAGGCTAGAGTCCGCTGAGTCCACTGAGTCCGTTCCGCTCTTCTGGAAGTCTGCCAGCGCTCATAACCTCACCCATGAGAAAAAACCCATCCACCTGCGGACTTCCATCATGCAGAAATCTCTGAGTGTGATTACCAGTGCCAAGGAGAAGATGCCAGTACTTTCTAACAAGACTCAAAGTGTGGAAGATGGCAGTAAGAAGGGTCAGAAGGCACCGGCAGAGAGAACTCTGTCAGAAGTGGATGAGATGCCTGAGCATTTCCCCAAAATGATCATTAGCCAATCAGTGGAGTACTCCAAGACTCCCTTGAAGATGGGAATAATGAAACAACAGGTAATACTGAGCGCATGTATAGGTAACCTACACATATTTATTCATCTGTAACTGTATAACATTATGTCATGGTGCATCCACAATGGATTGTCCTGGAGCTTAGCTGAACTGACCAACACAAAGTTTCTAAACAGGAAAGAAAATGAAACATAGAACACATATTTTATAGATAAAATCCAGAGAATTTCTATATACATTTGGAATTACCCTCAGTCAAAAATGTGTTTTCGCTGTAGCTGCAGGTCCTCTTGACCGGTGCATCTACCATCTTTTCACAGCCAGCTTCTTTTTCTAAAATATACCTGGATGTGGCCTGTGAATTCCCATCACAGCTTGTGAATTTAGGCCTGTAGTTTGATAATGTCTTTCTCAAACTAAAAAGGCTGTGGTTTTAACCACCCCTCTGCAGCTCCAGGTCTGACTTTAGTGTTGTCATTCTGGTGGAAGGTGATCCTTCACATCTACTTTTAAGTGTTTTGTAGCTTCTTACAGGTTGTCTCCCAGGATCCTTTCTAGACCCTTATGTGTTTAGCTTTTATCTTCCCATCTATTCTAATGAGCTTCCATGCACCTATTACCATCATCTTTAAGCTATGCTCTTCTTGCACAAACTGTCATTTTAGACAGAGTTTAAACAGAGTCACAGCTTAGTGGGTTGGCAGTTATTGCATACTTATTTGGGATTTTGTCGTATAACCTCACCCTGCTTTAAACATTGCCATAACCATTATCCCTGGCCTCTGTGCTGTTTTCATTGGTCTTCATGACACTTTTCACAGTAAAGTGGAACGAAGGAAAACAACTGCTACAGTTTTTATTTCTGTTAGTTAAAATATTCAAAAGCAAAAATTGTTTTCCCCCCAGTTCACTACTATGTACTGCGTTCTGTTGGTCTATACCTTTAAAGAATATCAAAAATACTTTAAGCTATGTAGCGTAACAAAAAAGGGAAGACTCAGATTAATTTTTTTATACTTTATCAAGACACTATGTGTCAGGGTTCCCGTGTGTGTGTGTGTGTGTGAGAATGTGAGTGATGCATCTCTTCCAGAGAGGATCTTGGTGGAGAACCTGTAGTCTACACAGGTGGAGCTTATCAGTCTCATCAGAGAGCTGGGCTTTAAAGAGCAGCAGAGCCTTCACTCAGGGCTGGTTTCTTGTTGTTGTTTTGTTGCTTCCTTGTCTCTTGCTCCTCTCATGAATTTTCCCTGACGTTTATTTGATTTTGTTTGGTTTTCAGTACTTTTGCACTTTTTCTGGATTTTTCCCTCAATTGCCTGTTAGTACTTATTAAATCAGCAAAACTCAAAACCTCCACCCAACCTGACGCTATGATTAATGTGTTGGGAAATCCATAACCTATTTGTTATTCTCCTAAATCCTTCTCCTCACTAACATTTACAAATATTAACATAATACTAGGAAAAATGTTTGCATCAAACAAACCTTCTGAAGTTCAGGTCCTTAGCCTTCTTGTTATCTGTTTAAAGTCTTGCCCTCTCTTTCAGTCTAAAGGACCTCTAGACAGAGCATGTTGTAGAAAATACTATTTCCTTTCCTGTGCCTTTTTGTTTATATCTCTGCTAAGTCTTCACTCTTTCTAAAATATTAAAACCTTCAATGAAAATGAAAGAATATAACTAGATAAGTCTTTACACTTAGACAGTTGTTTGCAAGGGATTAATCATATTGTTGAAAAAGAGATGTCCATTTCCAACATACTTTTCCAAAGCAAAGTAATTAAAAAAGGGGTCAAATTTGTTTTAAAACTTGATTATCAAAGTCAGCTGATATGAATGCATATTTTAGAAAAAGTAGGATTACAGTATAAAGAGTGCACTGCAGACATCTTTCAATGTAACATAAAGAGCCTATTATTTTAACAGTTTGACAGAAGAGCCCTAAACTGATCTCTTTTAGTTCTGAGCTTAATGTTTAAGTAAGAAAGTCATCTTAATGTCATTGTCTTTTTTATTACATATTTCTTTTTCAGGTAAGCGGCAGTCAGCCATCCATTTGCTCTGAGACAGGGAGGAGCCTCTATGATGTTTCGGAGGTTTGTCCCTGGGAGCTGGATGAAGCTCAGACTCCCACTGAGTCAAAGATCCAGAAGCATGTTTCCATTGCTCCATCAGAACCTGCCTCAGGTCGAAGGGGCAGTAGCAGCAGCTCAGGAACTGCCAAAGTCAGTCGGTCTCAGCAGAGGCAGAAACCTGGGCAGTCTCCATCAAACAAGCGGCGCTCTAAGGAGAAAGGGGGAGAAAGGGAGGAGAGGAAGGCTAGGCCACCAAAATCACCTCTCCCTCTCAAGCCGGACGTGAGCCCCTGGCAGTTTGATGAGCAGCCCATGGTTGGAGGAGATTCTGACTCCATCTCTCCTGACAGGATCAGGAGAAAGAAAAGTGTCACACCAACTGATGGGAAACCTAAAGGACTCCACTCAGACCACTCCAAGTCCACAGGGAGCCTCTTACAGCCCCCATCTCTCATGGTGGAAATCTGCCCCTGGGATTACGGAGGCCCCCCTTCTCCTAAGCAGGAAAAAACCTGCAACAGTCCCATCTTGCACAATAAGAAACGTAAGGGCTCCTCCTCATCCGCCCACAAATCAGAGAAGGATAGAACGAGGGAGAAAAGCAAGGAAAGGCGTAGCTCATCCAGCAAGCCACCATCGGAAAGGAGACGGGTTAGCCAGTCCTCTGAGGGTGGAGGGATGGTTACTGAGAGGAGGAGGAGCTCAACCAGAGACGTCGAGGTTTTCTCCCGTGACTACGAGCCCTCGCACACTCACAGCGGCATGGCTCAGACTAAAAAATCCCCTGAAAAGAAGAAAGAGAAAGCTTTGCGCAGTAGTTATAAACCTGCAGTTCTAAGCAGCGCAAAAATGGTTGACGTTTGCCCCTGGGACTTCCCAGAGAAGGATTCAGGGGAGAGGGCATGATAACTGTTGGGATGATTTGATCCTTCTATACTCGCTGAGTGAGAGCTCAGAGAACAAAGGGAAGCTAAAAATATACCAGCGTGTTTGGTACATTTTTTTCCCTCTTCATGTCATCTAAGTGAAAAGGGCCTTGTAAGCCCTTTAGGTCTTCTGTCCAGACAGACCTATTTACAGAGCTCTCAAAGCAACCTTGTTGCTTTAAAAAGGACATTTATTTTATCTGCACACCTGCCTGCACATCTGTCATAGTTTGTATGTTTTATCAGCTTTAATACATCTTGAAGGTATGTAAAAGATTCATGCCTGTGCTAGTAAGCTGAGCAGACAATCATCCAACTGTAAAACCTGAGTTCCTCGGCTTGAGCTCAGCGCTTGTTGAAAAACACAGAGAGAGCAAAAAGAAAAACTTCAGGAGGAAGGAGAACATGGGCTCTCAGGCTCTAAGACATGGGAGTAAAACAACAGACACCACTGCAATTCCTTGTCTTTGGGCAAAATGCATTATTAATGGGATGAAAACGATGTGTTGGATTAACCAATCATGGGAATAACAAAGCTTTGCACTACAGCTTAATGAAGGAAATGGTTTGATTAAACGTTCTCCATTTGAAATGCCTTGCAAAAGCAGTCATATCCCAAAAATATTTTTATTTCCTCATGCTACATTCACAATCTGGGGCATCTTCATTTAAGCCCCCATTATTATGACAGCCTTAAATAAAACCCTCTGTCAACATTTGCATTCACAAATGAGCTTATTTGTATCTAGAGTTGGCATGTGGAATTTTAGCCTCCTTGTAGTTAAACCACAGCTGCTCTATGAAGCATCCTAAGGTTTATTGATTTAATTGGGGTCATTTACACAAATTTGACTCATGGCTCTCTATACAAAAAAAAATGTAGAGAAATATACATCAAGATTGATCATGCATACCAATTTGATCCGTCATAAAGCCATGCAATCAAACTTAGTCTTTTATTTCAATCAGGGAAAGCTTGTTCTATCTAAGAAAATCCGGTGGTTGCAGTGATCTTTTTTAAAGAACAAGCACATGGTTACAGTGGGAAGGAAAATTCCCAGTTAAAACCAGGTTCAATGCTAACCACCATCTATCACGTCTGAATAATGGTTGCATAAAACCGAGCACAAAACAACACAGAAATCCTGGTCCAGGAACACTTTGAATAAAAGTAAGGAGTTATTGAAAGGAGTAGGTCCTTGAGTGGCTTCATCTAGAAGAGAAACACAGGTTGACATATACGTTTTGAACTTATGGTAGTATAAAAAAAACAGCCTTATCGTATACATATAGTCAGTGACTTTGTTGATATTTAAACACTTTATTTTCCTTCTTCTTTAGAAATAAGTAGAATCTTTTCCTGGCCTGCCATGGAAAGTATCAATTAAACATATTAAAAAAGTGTTTAACATATCTGAATGGGAAATGAATACTTTTGCAAAGCTCAATGTTTTTTTTTTTTTTTACAAAGTCATTGCATGTGGTAAAACTATCCAGCATCAACTAATTAAATGTTTACTGGTGAACTTGTTCTCAAATATGACAGTGGGAGTCTAGATGTCGTTGCGTCCGGTACTTGTTCATTAACAAAGAACATGATGTTATAGAAATGGCGTGCATTGCTGTCAGAGTTGTCCAACTGCTTTTCATATGGCATGCTGTTTACAGTTGAGCAGTACTGAGGTTGTTATTTGCTGTTAACCCTAATCTCCTGGCTCTCCTGGTTACACATATTCTTATAGGTATAAAGAAGAACTCTTTTCATCAAAAGCTGTAGTTTCCCCACACACACAGAGTGAAAAACAAAGGACCAAAGCTGAAACCGCCTACCGTGGATGTTGTGAATAATGCATTTGGTCCCCTCCTTAGCCCATTTTATCTGCCTGAATGCACTCCCCTCTTACTATTGCACATATTCAGCCACTAAAAATCCCTTCGCATGACTTGTTTTTTATTTTTGTTTCTTTCTTCCTCTGCAACAGAGTGTAAGTAATTAATCATTGTGGCATCATTTCAAACATAAACAACAACAGTCAGGCTGTCTGTCCTGTGATTAGCCACCCACCACTGACAGCTCATGCCATTGTGTCAAACAGCACTCAGCTCAGAACCAAGATGGTTGTGTATGCATGGCAGCGAGAATATGAAGACCCCATCAATTCACGAAAATCATGAAATAATCACAACACGTCTTCTAAATTGGGAATATTTTTGAAGCACATTTTTAGATGTACCAATCATGCACTTGGTGTGTAACATGAATGGCTTCATGATCAGATGCCTTTTTGTAATTGACTCCTCTCCTTTGCCAACTACATGTTATCTATTGCTTGTTATCCAGTATATTGTGGCTCGAGCAGATTACAAATGGTTGTACCCTCCACATGCAATTATTTATATAATGTACTCGGATTGTGTTGCATGTACAAACAGTACAAACTGTTCTCAATTGGGATTAAAGGTTTCTACAAAAGCAAACTCATGGAAACTTTCAGTTCTTGCTAGGATGGTAATAATAAAATGTGTGTAAATAAATAGCCCATACTGCTGTCTAAATAGTAATATCTTTTACAGAAAACAACAATATCAATGTGACAACTTTTGCGATAAAGAACTCCAGTTTACTAAAATTGCAACTTGTCTCAGAGCTCAACAAACTTTCTTCAATGTAAAACAATACATTCTGTAATTGTCCATGCCAACACTGCTTATTCAAATAAAGTTTCTTTGTGTGAATGCTATTTAGAACAGTCAGTACAACAGTGCCACCATATGGCAGGACAGAGTTATTGCATGTTGTTTATTGTTGTGCAACATGCTATAACTCTAATAAAAAAAAAAAAAACAACTTTAACGCCATTGGAGTGATTTCATTGTCACAATCTAATTATTATAAGTTAGAGATTGGAAGCTAATTAGAGAAAGGCTTTTTTCAAAAACAGACAAGCAGTTCCAGACAGGGGGCCAGCTAGGGCCAGGGTCCTTGCAGAACCGTTCCTGGCCCCTTTACTGAATATGTGATTCTTAATAATGTTCTTATTATAATGTGTGTTGGCAAAGACACTGTAGCTGAGCTTCATTGTAATAATATAACTTTTTACCCCTACTGTTTTACTTTAAAAAAAAATTAAAAGTCCAGGTGTTGCAACTTCAGCTTCTGTCACATCACTGATTTTCATCTACTAGATCAGAACAACCTGCAGCAAGAAAACTACATTTTACATCAAACTTTTTATTCTCTATTAGTTAGTCCTTCCTCTACAGTATCTGCTTTGCCTTCCCTCTGCCTCAGCTGCTGCTAGCTTTGCCTGGTTAGCTCTTTTTGTTTGCTTGATGTTTGTCCAACCCGGAATCAGTGTTTAAGCTCTGCTTTTATCATAGTTCTCCACTGAATCCTTTCATTATGCTTCCAAGGTTGTTTGTTTTTAACCCAGTTCCTTGCCTGTGTTCTTTGCTCTGATCTTAATTGTAATTGCCATTAAGGTTTGTGTTACACCATTTGAACTCACCATCTAGCTTTCACATGGTCCATCTCCTAACTTTTTTTTTTACTTTTAGATGCAGACTGACTCCTTCTAAGTCCATAAACCTGCTAATTGATTACTAAAGCTACATCTGGAGTAAATATTACTACATGTCTTATAAAAATGCTATTTCCACCATATTGTGGCTTATACAACAATGGAACAGATCACCAAATTTACAGTTGTCCAGCAGACAGTCACGGATATCCTGTGCTCACTAACAAAACTACTGTACCTGTTTACAGAGGGATGTAAAACAATAATTTTCATAGGAACTTGAGTCAAAAAGGTGTTTTGATGCAGCAGAGTGAACAGTGTTTAACAGAACTGTAAAAAGAAGCCCCTTCCTGTGCTCACAAAGCGTGGAGCTGGAGTCAGAGCTTTAAGATAGAAGTTGACATAAGCAAAAACTGTTTTATCCTGTAATGTTAACAGGCCTACAATACAGACAGAAATTTCATATTTGGGCTCAATAGGAAAACAGTTAAGGCTGTTGCCAGAGGTGTCAGGTAACAAAGTACAAATACTTTGTTACTGTACTTAAGTACACTTTTTATGTATATATACTTTACTCCATTATTTATTTTTCTTCCTACTTCTGACTTCTACTCATCCCATTTTCACATAAGAACCTGTACTTTCTATTCCATACATTTGTAAAACAAACGTTAATTACTACTCTTGGCTTCGGTTTAATGTTTTTAACTATTTATTTCACATCATGTGCGCCATCCAATGCAGATCATTGGCGCCATCCACATCTAGTGAAAACTAGTGTAATTGGATGAGTCATATAACGCAAACACTTATTCGTTAGCTAAAGGAAATCATCAGAAGCAAGCAGGTGTTCTTCAAACTGCAAACGTGAATTGTCTATGCCATGCTACAATGTTAGATTGAGAAAAAGATGTTGAAATGTCTGAAAGGTCGGACAAAGGTGAGAGCGTATCGGGAGACGGAGACCAACAAGACTTCCCTCGTCCTTGGCCGTATCTCAAAGAATTTTTCAAAATTGTCAAAAAATTAAGCTTTCGATTCATATTGTGGCATCTAGCTGTTTTTTAAAGGTTACTTTATACTTTTAAACTTCAAGTAGTTTTTGGAGCACATACTTTTTCACTTTTACTTGATTAAAGAGGTCAAGTTGATACTTCAACTTTTACCAGAGTGTTTTTAAACTGCAGTATCTATACTTCTACTTAAGTAACAAATGTGTGAACTTTTTACACCACTGGCTGTTGCTTAGTCATCAAAAGTCCTGTTTTAAGGCAAGAGTTGCTATTATTTTCAAATCAAGGCACCAGACTGGAGAAAGAGTAATTACCAAATCACCTTTCCTTCTGAAGAGTCATTAGAACAACTAATGATATAAAAAAGAGAATACAGCTCTGTTCATTAAGTAAGTGTACTTTTTAAATAATCTGGATTCCTACACTTAAAAAACTGTATTATTTTTATATATATATATATATATATATAATATTCAAATTTATAAGAAATCAAATTTTGTTTTGTTTTCTCTGGAAGTGAGCATAACTTTTTCACTTTAATGTATAAATAAACCTTTTTTAAATTATTTGATATGAGAAATCAGGAAAGGATTGTGAAAAAAAAATGAAGACATGGATGGAAACAGACAACACTGATGCTGCAGTGAGCATGCTGCCTCTCTGTCAGCCCTGATGATGCAACATGAACCTTTATGAAACAGCTTCCAGACCATCATTTCTTTGGAGCACAAAGCTGCAGAAATGATCCCTGCTAGTTAGACTATATGACTTTAGTTGGATTCTGGGAGAGAAGTTTTTAGTGAAATGGGCAGAAATTATTGTTCAATAAAATGTTTTCTGGGAGTAAATAAGAATATGCGCACAAACTGGTTTGAGCTAAATAAACGTAAAACATGTGAATTGGATGCCCTGGATTAAAAGGAAAAAAAAAAAGACACAAACGCATTATTTAATGTAAAAGCAAACTCATTTTGCTGCCTGCATTGATCCCTCTATGGGTGGAGTAGGGGTGGTTGACGCCGTCCATGATCCAGCGGACATTACGCAGCTGCGCACCAGTGGCCCGCCCTGCACCGGTCCATCCATGCAGCCCTGCCCATCCTGCTGCTGCTGCGCACGCCTGACACATCACATAGCAGCAACACATCAGGGCACACAGCAGCCAGCTTTTATCAAAAAAAAATTTAACTTTTAACAACAATCAAATCAGACAACATGGGCAACGTCCAGGTAAGAATCATTTTGTTCTGCTGATCTAAACAATCCGAGATATTAAACTGTAAGCTGCGTTTTTATCCAATTAAAGGGCATTTTAATTATTAAAAAGTTTTTAAATTAAGGAATTGTGTTTAATTTATGCATTAAAATGCAAATCAGCAGGTTGAACATCATAAAGCTTTTGCAGAAGGTTGATATAATTTATTACAGCTAGATATAGTCTTTTAGTTTGGGTGAAAACAGCATAAATTGTAAGTGGCGCAGTCAGAGGGAGTGTGCTCTGTCAGAAGCAGATAGATGAGGGATTTCTCAGCATGTAGATCAATAAGGCCGCATTGTGTCAAAGTGAGGGTGGGTAGGGGATGAGGCTGCTGCTGGTCCATGACTCAGCACAGCCAGCACCCTGATCCTATTGAGAGAAACTTCCTGGATGGAACACCATAACAGATCATCTGACACCACATCACCCTCTTTTTAGTTTCATTGCAGCGTCAAAGTGCTTTTACAGTTTCTTTTGTGCTTTATTTTTTTGAGTGCAAAATATAATAAAACATATACATATGTCCTGCTAATATTTTTACATATGTGTTGCATTCCCAGCCCACCATAGTCCCCTTTGAGGATTTTGATGTCACGGCTGATATAAAAGCCTTAAGACAAGCATGTAAAGGTTTGGGTAAGTCTGAACTTACTGTAATCTTTATTCATTAATATCTCAGCAATAATCAGCATCAATATATCACCTTAAATGTTCAGTAGCAACATTCAAAACTCTTTTAAAGCCAAAACCTTTATATCTGGTGACTGTTTTTTATGAATATGAACAGCCTTGTGTGTGATTGTTGAGCACATTTACTTTGTGTGAGATGCTTTAATTTCCCCACCATGTCTGTATTGCTTCATGTTTTCCAGGCACAGATGAAGAGGTTATTATCCAGATCCTGGCCAACCGCTCTGCAGCTCAGCGTGTGGAAATCAAACAGGCCTACTTTGAAAAATATGACGACGTGAGTACCCCACCCACCTCTGGTCTCTGTTTGTCCTGTGATGCAGGAGCACAGCAACTAAGACTTTAAGATCTGTTTTCTGCAAGGAGCTGGAGGAGGTTCTAAAGAAGGAACTCACAGGTAGCTTTGAAAATGCCATAGTGGCCATGTTGGACGAGCCCCGCGTTTTCTTTGCCAAGGAGCTCAGGAAGGCCATGAAAGGGGCGGGGACTGATGAGGCTGTTTTGGTGGAGATCCTGTGCACTGCTACAAATGAGGTTTGTAGAGAGGTGATGGATTAGATTAACGTTGATTACATTGTGTTTATGTTTGTTATGGGAACCATAGGGCTAAGAATCAAGGCATTGGTGCTTGTTGAGGCTGACTTTACTAACCATCCTCCTCATTTATCCTACAGGATATCCTGAGCTACAAGGAAGCTTATGCCCAGGGTAGGTTTTCAAAACATCTAACAGTTTTATATTACAGGGTTTTACTAAAGTATACATTTTCTTAGTTTCTCACATTACAACTGCTTAAATAAATAAATAAAAAGTACATTTGTATTATATGTTGACTCCCTGTGAATTAATACTTTACTGAACTAAGTTTTGCTGAAATTACTACTCTAATTCTTTCTCAGGTTTCTACCGTCTTGGTTCATTTCTCTTTGCAAAATAATTCAAGCTCATTTATTTTGGATGGGGAGCATTTGTAAACATCAGTTTTTCATTTCTATTGGATTTAGGCCTGCAGTGAGTGGCTCATTCTAAGACATTAATATTAGTGATGGTGAGATGAAGCCTCATGAGGCATTGAACCGTTTGGCCAAATTGCTTCAACGATCCCTAAAGTTCATGAAGCCTCACGTGAACATGTCACCACCTACTGGTGGAGAGCAGAACTACAGTTAGTAATATAATTGTGATTTTATTTATTGCAATATTGTTTTTCTTGTTTTTTTTTTTCTTTTCTTTAAGTTAATTTAAAATTGTTAATGTTTGGTCTGTATGGAAGAGGATTAGGGCCATTAAAAATAAAAAAAGGTCACTAATTTTTACATTTTATTTCAGTTTAATATGGGAAAAGTCAGAAATCTGGGATTAAAGTCAGAATTCTGAGAAAAAAAGTCAAAATTTTGAGATTGAAGTCAGAATTCTGAGAATAAAAACAGAATTCTGGGAAAAGTAAGAATATTGAAAATAAAGTCAGAATTCTAAGAAAAAAAGTCAGAATTCTGGGAAAAGTCAGAATTCTGAGAATAAAGTCAGAATTAATTCTGAGATTAAAGTCAGAATTCTGAGGAAAAACGCCAGAATTCTGAAATTAAAGTCAGAATTCTGAGATTAAAGTCTGAATTCTGAGATTAAAGTCAGAATTCTAAGAAAAAAAGTCAGAATTCTGGGATTTAAGTCAGAATTCTGAGGAAAAACGCCAGAATTCTGAAATTAAAGTCAGAATTCTGGGATTATAGTCAGAATTCTGAGAAAAGAGTCAGAATTCTGAGAAAAACGCCAGAATTCTGAGAATAAAGACTTTTTTTCCATATTAAGCTGAAATAAAATGTAAAAATGAGTTCGCTTTTTTTAGTACTCGACACAGCCTCGGAGCCTTGGCTCATTTCATAACATCAGTAATTAATATGTTTTGATCTAAACTTTTCCACTGTGGCTCTAGCTTCATGTTTAGGGTTGTTTTCCAAGTGGAAAGTGAACATCTGATCTAATCTTCCATGTCCTTGCTGAAATAAGGTATCCCACAGCATAATCTTGCCACCACAGTGTCTAAACTTGACGAGGTTTGTTTAGTCAGTGTAATTTAAAGCTCATTAAAGACGGTGGTTGTAAAGTGGTGAAATGAGGAAAAGTTCTAAAACTATGAAAAAAATTGGTTTGGTTATTCATATCATAATGGTAAAATGACTAATTGTGTTTGTTTTACAAACCTAAGGCTGCAAAATAATTCTAGGAAAACATGTTACACTGAAATTCAAGCACACAATAATTAACCTATGAGGCTGTAGGTTTTATTCTTTTTGCTGTTACCTTTCAGTAAATGAGCGAGACTTGGAGGCGGATATAGAGGACGATACCAGTGGAGATGTTAGGAACCTGCTTATTTCACTGCTACAGGTATAAAACTGACCGTTGTTACCTTATCAGATACAAATCTACATTTTCCAGCTCGGCTGCTTATATGGGGAAGCAGGGCTCTGAAAGAAGAATGAAATGGGCTTGTGTTCGTTTTCCCTCAAATTGTTTCACATAATGGCTCTTGATCGCTGGCTCGCCCACTGGGACATTCGTCACATAGCTTGGCATGCTAAGCCCTTTATGCCCTTTCCAGCTCTTTCACCTCATTCACCCTCTGCTTCTTATCTTTTTCTTTTCCCTAAGCTAAAAAATATAAACAGATTGACTCATGTTTTACTGCAGTGCCATTCCAGAGAACTTAATCTGTTTTCCTTTTAAGTAATGCAGATGACTGTTATCCCATTAAATGCTCAGTGTCATTTTTGTTATCCACCCTCTTTGACTTGGCTCTGTGGGCTTTCATGCCCCTAACTCTCCCTCTCTCTCCTCATCCATAATTCTGATCCTCTTCCAGTTTCATCCTCTTCACTTTCTTGTTTCCTCCTTTACAGGCGAGCAGAGAAGAAGGCTACGACGTAGACGAGGGATTGGCCGAACAAGATGCCATATCTTTGTTTGAGGTGTGGATGCGAGTAATATAGGATTTCCTTCTTATTCAGTCCAATTTAGGCTGTATAAAAAGTCATGCATTAAAGCAACTGCATTATGCCTTAAAGTCATGCATTAAAGTAACTGAACCGCACATAACAACATGGATTTAGCAGCTAAAAGTTAAAGCTTGAAGCATTATAGCTAAATAGCCAATTCATCCATGTTGGTGGAACATGGATGAATTGGCCGTATATAAAGAAACAAAAGCAGGTGGAATGTATGAGTAGTTATTGGAAACAGGGTAGAGTTAGGCAGGCGAATGAAATGAGAAATTAGGCCAGCTGTAGGTGCCAAGATCATGACACACTCCTGGTAGAATGGCATATAACAACAGAGGGGGCGGCCACCCCCACAGATTCATAAGCCAGTGCAATGGCATCTACAACCCAATGCAACAGCCTGTACTTCGAAATGCTACTCTTATTGGCGAATAGTGCCTGTATCCACAATGTACAGCTGCAATTTCCAGGCTGGGAACACTGTGCTTGCCAACCTACGTTAAGTTCCTCAGACTGAAACGGAGGCGGGCAATAGGCCCTCAGGCCCCCAGTTCAATAGGTGACTTCACATTGCCTGGGGGCAGAACCTTTGTAAAAAGGTTACATTTGGTGACATCACTCCAGACCCATCTGCTATGGAGTCAAGATTCTGCCAAAATTTCACACACACAATAAATCATTCTATTGGAAGCTTTACTTTTTTCAGACACTCATAAACTACACTCACATGCATATTTAACATGTAGCATGCGCAAAAAAAGAGTGCCACCGGCGCCCAAAATATCATAAATATAAGTATTCCTTTTCTGTAAATGTGGTTCAAATTTATGTGTGCGCACCCTCCTTCCTCCTCTCATTTGTACCTGTTCCTACTAGCTCCTTTCTACTTTTGTTACTTTGAATGCGTTACCCTCCTGACAAATCAACTTGCCTGTGACTGGCTAGGTTTCAGGAAATTCTGCGTCTTGAGTTATGACACGTTGCCAAAGTTACAAGTGTAAACTGTCTACCCATTTCCCGCTAAAGTTTGTAGGTATTTGTAGGTGACCCTTTTTAACAGACACCCTACACTCAGTCAGATTTGAGTATTCAATTAGACTATGGTATATTTAATGGTGACTCTACTTTTGAGCTTCCAACTCTTAAAGAGAAGCGTTTAGCCTGAAGACGCTTTGCTAGTAGGTAGCCAATCACAGGCAAGTTGCTTTGTGCAGTGGGTAACACCTTCCAAGTGACAAAAGTTTACATGAGCGTACAGAAACAGGTCCACATGCGAGTAAGAGAATCTTTAGGCACATAAAAAGCAAACCACAAGCATAATGAAAAGAGTGAAGTGTGGCTACAAAGAAATGGCCATCCATTTAAACTTGCAAAGCAGGGAGCGTAGTCACAACAGAAGTAGCCATTAGGCCAGATTTAAACCTAGAGGAGTTTAAGAGATTTCTAGATCAGGAGGAAGAATTTGCCAAAGGGCCATTGCCAGTTATGCACTTCAAAGGTTTAGCTTTCAGGAGTCACCTGGACCTTTTGGACTGCAACCCCAAACAAAATTCTGATGACGACACTTGGTTATAACACTGTCAGGTTATTGGTATAGTTATAATCAGCAAACACAGTTGAGTTGGTTAGAGTTGATGAGAAGATGAATTGATGGATCAATTCATGGGGCATTCCAGGTAGAACACGTTGAATTCTTAGAGACGTGAAACAAAGGTGGACATTCACCTCCTAGCAGAGCAATGGTCCATAAGCATCTCCCTGAAATGAGTTTTCAGAACTTGGGATGTCTGTATAGACCATAATCTAAACATCTGTAACAGGACTCGAAGAGGCTATGTCTAATGACTGCTGTAGCTTAAATACATATACCATACATTCATTTTGTATGCTAAAGAAACTATCTTTATTTCGGCTTTACAATATTCCATTAATTTGTGTATCACATGTATCACAAATGTTAAAAGTATCACATTCAAAATGTTGTGGCAACAGACATTTACCATCTTGTTTTAATTTGTTATGGAACTACAGTTAACTTCTACAGTTTTTACTTTTACTTCTCTAACACCTAACGGCAGAGCTCTTAAGTTCTTCTTGTGCAAATAACAGCCTAACATACTGTACATCTAATACAAGTGCAAACACTTTTAAATGTCAGCATTTTGTTTTCTTTTTGTTTACATAACAGGCAGGTGAGGGCAGGTTTGGCACAGACGAGTCAACCTTCACCTACATCCTGACACACAGGAACTACCTGCAGCTTCAGGCTACCTTTAAGGCCTACGAGTCTGTATGTACTGTACGATGGTGAACCTGATCCAAAATAGATTAGTTTCATTGTACTTGAGTTTACGCTAGCTGGTTTACCTTGCAGCTTTCAGGAACAGATATTTTGGACACCATCGACTCGGAGGCTACAGGGACCCTCAAAGACTGCTACATCACTATTGGTGAGAAGGAGCATTTACAGATCTTCCATTATTACTTTGCCTACTTATTTACAATCAGCAGCTGATTTTGTTTGTTGGTATGACTTTATGTGTGTGTATATATTTTGTTGTTCAGTGAGGTGTGCTAAGAACCCACAGCTCTATTTTGCCCGCCGCCTGAATGCTGCAATGAAGGGCCTTGGCACTGATGAAGACACACTCATCCGCATCATTGTAGGCCGCTCTGAGGCAAGTGTCCCTGAGCTTGTGTATTATAAACTTTACGGGATGTTACACACATAAACATAACGCTTTTGGCCTTGCTAGCAGCAATTAATGCAAACATTCAATTCTAAAAGATAAGAAATGCTGGCATCTCTTATCAACATGTGCAAAAACCTTCAAATTCAATAATTGTTTAATTACATAGTATCGTCTTATAGTCAAAAAGAAAATGCTTTTTTTTCAGTGTCTGAATAAAAGAAACTAGTAACTACATAGCGTAATATTGGGTTTTAACAAAATAATCCTAAAAAAAATCCTTGCAACTCCCTTCCTTTAAGAACTTCTGATCTTTGATCCTCTAACTTATCTTTCACTGGGTTATAAATTAACACAAATGCCCAATTTTCTTTTTTCTATTGGCCACTAGGTGGCATGAAGATCAATATACATCTTACCATCTGTGAGGAGGAGAAAAAAATTTATAAAATAAAAAAAAATTCTATACTTACTTAAAAACTGCAACCAAATGTGGCAACACCCATTAGACAATATTTACATGACTACTGGAGGTTTGTAAGTGATACCAGGAAAATAAACTGCTTTATCATTCCAAAAGAAACATCTGAAATATCTTGCAAAATTCTCCTGAAAACTTATGTAAAACAGTTTTAGCTGAAAAGGACTAAGATTAGAATATTTGATTTTAAAAAAAAAGAGAGAGAGAGATAAAAAATGAACTCCCTTCTAATAATATAAGCTCTTTAATGCAGTTAAGGCCCTTTGGTGCAAAGAGACGTCCTTACTTCCAGTGGCCAAGGGTTAAAACATCAACTGGATTCAACCAGTAAACCTCTTAAGCTATGTTGTTATTATGTCTTTCAGCAGAATAATATTCTGAAATCTAATCATATAGTTATTGAAAATAGTTCAACAGGCAAAATTAAACTTCCTCCAAAGCAACTTCACTGCCAAAATGAAATCATGTAGAAAAACCTCTGGGGTGACCTGAAGAAAACAGACCATGAGGCGACACAACTTATTTGTGTAACTCTATTTGTATAAAACATATTTAAAATAGCTACAAAAAACAAAAACAATAAAATTTCACTGAAATAAAAATAAATATGGTTTCGAAAATATAATAGAGCTTAGCAGTAAGATATAAAGTTAATTGAATAAGTAATTGTTGACCATTATGGCAAAGCTGGACTTAATATTAAATTTTCCTGTCCTGGTTTAAAAGAGACAACTGTTTCTTTATATTAAATATTTACAGGAGGTTAGATTCCAATTTGAGGAGCGTAGTAACTAAATGCTGCCTTCCCTCATTTAGCTTTTCCTCTTGTGCTTTGTTGTCAGTTCTATACTCTCTGCTAAGCACTTGGTAAGCATGGCAGTTGTTTTAATTGTGCTGTATTGATTGACAATTAAGACTGGTGACCTGACCAGGGTGTACCCCGCCTCTCGTCCATAGACAGCTGGAGGGTGCACTAGCACCCCTCGTGACCCCAGCAGGGATAAGGTGTGACAGAAAACGGATGAATGGATGGATGGAAGGATGGATGGACAAGAAAAAAATTGAAGTTCCCTTTGATAAATGTTCATACAGAAAAAGTTTCATATAAATCATGTCAGACAGACAACAATTACTTGTAGTAAATATTGAACTTATTGAAAACCTTTTTTTTTTTTTTTACACATTCTTATCAAAGGCAGTGAAAGAAGCAGCTAATTTAATACATTAAAAGCATCAGAAATCTTTATGCAGCTGTGATATTTTTGAAATGTTGAACACTTTCACAAACATATTTATTTTATTTGCTTATAGGTTTCTTTACTTTTGAACTCTGGAAATAATGCTGAGTTAATATAGAAATGTAAAATGGGTTCAACTTCCTCCTTGTTTCTAACCCACAGGTCGACTTGGAGACAGTGAAGGACATGTACCTCGAGAAATACGACATCACCCTAAAAGATGCCCTTGACTCGGAGTGTGGAGGAGACTTTAAGCGTCTTCTCTTGGAGATCTTGCACTAAATCACAGTCAATTTGTCACCTGTCTTGTTCTACCATGAAATAACAAAATCTAATCTATCTACTCTACTGTTTTTAACACTTTACAAGTACTTCTTGTTACTCTGGTCTTTCTCCACGTTTTAGAAATTTAACTTTACAGCACGGACCAAAATCAACTCAATATAATCCAGTTTAGTGTTCCACATTACGTAATTTTTACAGATTTTGTTAACACTTTTAAAACTTTTTACAATACCATCTGAGTATAATAAAGCGCACTGTTAGTTACCAACTTGGATGTATTTTGGAAATATAGAAGGACCATATTCACTTATCAAAAAGTTATCTGCCAAGTTACAGTACTCTAATGCTTTTCTTTTTTAAGCTGCAATCATTGTGTTTTCTATTACACAACAAGCATGTGTCTCTCATCTATCAGTCACATCACTATTTATTTTAACAATGAACTTCAGAAGATTATAGCAAATAAAGTTAGGTTCTGCTGCAACACATAAGTGCCCCAATATCCTGCTCAAACGTTTAAATTTAAAGATTTTGTGTATTTGTTGGAACTTATAATAACCTCAAATACTCAGCTGTTTAAGCAATTCGCTACAGGCCGGTTCTAGACTGAATAATTAACAAGAAATTGAAGTGCTTTGAGTCGTTTCTTTGAGAGCTCACATGTTGCCTTGTTACTAGATTTAGACACTGTTTTTGTTTTGCTTTTTGGTGCCTTGAGTATTTACATTCACTGCACAGAAAATAACCATAGAGGTCACTCTGACTAGTGCAATGATTAAAAGTATAGTCACAGGTTTAAGGCATAGGGCTTTAAAGACGCATTTTCTTAATGAACTGAGGCTTAATGTGTTGAGTGAAGTATAAATATTAGAATATAACAGATCTGACTGTATTCACCTACAAAAATGTATGTCTGATGTCTGTTTAATGTTTGTACAATATTGGTCTGAAATACAAATAAAAAAATTCTAACTATCAGAACTGATTTCATTTTTCCTGTAGAGGGCAGTGTTGAACAATTTGCATTTTATTTGCTGCGTAAATGTAGTTTTGGGGTCTAAGGAAGCAATGAATAATAATATAACATTGAAGTAATACACTCCTATATATATTTACATAATACTCTTAACCTAATCTAGAATTTAATAGAATATTGATCATTTAATACCACTACCAGATCATCCCTAGTAACTCATCTATTCATTTAGTGTTGAATAATATGCTTTAAAGATGCAAAAAAGTTTATTTCTACAAAATAATTCCTAAAAACCTTTTGATTATACCAGAGCAGCAAACCTGTGTCTACTAAGTTAAAGTTAGACAATAAGGAAGTTCAAGAAAGGTGCCAAATGCTTCCAGATGTGCAGCCAGTTCCTCTGCCACTCTGCTTTGCCTGTTACTTCAGTCTTCTTACTGTTTATCTCATTATTACAGTTGGTTTGAGCATTCAAGTTTAGCATCAACCTGTTTTCTGCATTTTCTTGCAACCTGTATGCTTCCAGTCTGTGCACCATATGTGCTTTGACCATTTATCTGTCTGGCTGATCCATGTGCTCAGAACACGTGGCTGCTGATAATATATAGAGAGAATCAGGACGAGCAATACATGGGTCTGGTGTGTAGGATTATTTCTTTTGGAGGGGAATTAACCCCTTTTGCACTAATTTCTGTTTAAAGGTATTTTTTTTAAAAATGCTGTTTGTGTGGAAATAACAATAGAATGCTAAAAGAATAATGCAATTTTAATGCAAAAATCAAGAAAAGGCTCAATAATGGTCCAAATTCATGTTTTTTTTATCCATTGTGCACGTTAAATAATAGTGTGCAATAATATGTAAGGTTCGGCTGTCAAACATATGGTGCTCCATCTAAGCCAACAGTGCCATGACCCTTTATTCCTCCAAACTTTCTCTTTTTTAAACTTTAGTAACTCCTTCAAGATGCCTTAACTCAAGCTATGGTTTCAATTTTGCTCAAGACACGATGTCTGTCTGTTGGATTATACACCCTGTTTCTGGGTATTGTCTTCTTTGGCAACAATCTGATGACAAAAAAGAGAACTCAAACACCTTGTAAATCCCATAATTGTGATTTTTAACACCTATCAGCAAAAAATATTACATTGAGAGCAATTCCTGCACTTTCTACATAAAATACGTTCAGTTGTTTTTTGTTAAAGAGAATGCAGTCTTATTTGTAGGGTGTTTCTGATCTTGACTCCCATTACTGCAAAAAAACTGCTGGGCTAATGTGTCTGTCCAAATTCACGACAAAGGAAAGATGTTCTTTGATGAGTAACCAGAAAAACCTGGAGGCTCCCGCCAAGAGAAAACATGTTCAATTGAATCTCTGTATCACTGTGTGGCCTGTAGGGCTGTAATGGTTGACGGATGATCAGTGTGTTATTGTTTTGTTAAACTCATCTGTTTATCTGTTTAAGTTTCCCACTAAATCAAATACAAATATGTATTTCATGTAAAATCCCCTTTTCTATTTACAGTGTACCATTTTGACCCCAATGAATTTTTTACAGTGCATGTTTTGTCTCTTTGAGAAGAAAACATGGGTTAACCCTTGACAATCCCCTAGTAAGAGTTAGGATTAGATTAAGAAAGATTTTTTTTGCTAATCATTCAACCCATTGTAAGGAAGCAGCGACTCACTGGTGAGCATTCTGGGGCTTAGCGTCTTGCTCAGACACCCGGTGTGGCACTCTGGGGGGGTTTGAACCAGGGAAGCTGCAGCCTTCAGAAGAGCTGAAGCAGAAATCCTGCTTTTATCACTCTGTTGCCCATCACTCTGCACTGACTTTGGAAACTTCACACTGGAATCCAAGGAATATGGATTTTCTACCCCCTACTTTGATTCTTAAACTAAAACTTTATTTTCATCTGAAAGTAAGTGTTTGGACTCCCAAGTAACAGTCCAGTTCTTTGGTTTCTTAGCCCAGGTAAGAAGCATATGATGAGCGACTTACAATATGGAAAGGCAACATTTGTATTTGAGATGAACAATTTTTCTGTGGGTAGAGGCTCTTGATGTGCTGAATTTAGACTCAGTCCCCTCCTAGCAAAGCCGAACAGAACCACACAATGACTTTTATTGAGGAAAATGAAAGACATCAACATGCTTTCAGCAGTGTAACAAATACCAAATACTGGTTCTCTCCACTGTATCTGTAAGCCATCACATTCACAATGACACGAAATAAAGGTTTAACATATTTTAAGGAACCTATATGTCTTAAACTTTCTGCAATTACTGTTCTGCAATGGCTGTCACCGTGGATCTTATAAAATATCCTTTTTAGATGTGTTTTTTCACCTGCTCATAGATTTGTTTGAATTAGAGTATAGTGCTGCCTTTCTGGCCTTTAACATGTTAGATTTTAAGTCTACATTTTCATCCATGATGAAACTGTAGATGGAGTGGAGGTAACAAGAGGATGGAACATATTTTAACTGAGGGTGTGGTGCGGTTCATTTATTTTTTTTGCTTTAAGAATTGAAATATTACTTCAACAGAAGTCTTTGAGGAAAAATTTAAACACGTTACCATTGCTACACAGCTCTCTATAGCAAAGTAATAGCAATTAGCCTACATAAAATCAGTGCTTCATCTTTGAAATTTTGACTGCCTGACATATGATCCCTACTTTATGCACTACAGGTAAGACATACAATATGGCTTCACATCTGATAAATATTTTTATTACGTTAACAGAAAAACACCAAATATACACTTCATTAAACATTTTACTCTTTAAATAGCCTGTTTATGTTTACATGGCCTGCATATTAGTTGGAATTTAACCAGAGAGCAATTAAGCATTGCATGCTAGGTGTAACAAAAATCTCTAACTCAAAACATGTGTCCTTAAAATGAATGGAAAGCAGTGTTAAAAGAAAACAAATTTATCTGAGGATACTTTTGAACAACAGAAGAGGGTCAGCAGAATTACATAAAGATAAAACAAACAACAAGAAAAACATGCATTTTGAAGATAATACAGAGCAGAAAGCTCAAGCGTGAAAGGTTCAGGATAGTTGAATAATATTTATGTACAAAACAACTCACTAGTTTTGCTGTATATAAATGAATGATATGAATAATTTCTTTCATTTAAAATGCCGTAGTTCATTTCAAATGTTAAAAAGCAAAACATAACATCTTTTAGCAGTTTATAAGGAGGGGAAATCTCATTTCATTTGTTTTGTCATGGGTAAATTTACAGGGGAAGATATTTTCCAGATGACAACAACTTTGGAAGCCAACAACATCTTTTGTGGCCTTTCCCCAACAGCTACTACTAAATTATTGCAGTATAAAATGGTGAGTAGGAAACAGATGGCTTTTGTGGTGTCTTTTGAACTTTGGTGGGACAATGAAGTTAGTTTCCTTGATGTTTGACCTGGTGCAGGGGCGTGCACAGTATGGTGCTTAACATAATTGAGTACAGACTTTTTGGTTGGATTATATATGGTCCGCTGCATACTTCAATTTGAGAAAAGCCAGTTTGAAAACTGTTGGATCCCCTACCTGTTATTGGCTATTGATGAAAATATGCTTTATACACGGTTTATAACTGATAAACCAACAATGATTTACAGAAAAAGTGCTAGGAATACATGAAAACTAAAGGTAGAGGTCTCTACTTTGTGTGTGTGTGTGTTTTTTTTTGTCACCAAATGGATAATACAGCTCTCCTGTTTATGGACCAGGATTTGGCAGCATGTTTTAGGTTTGTTAAAGGTCATTGAGCTTCACTGACCGTACTAGAACTTGTTTAACCTTTCCTGGTTGTTCAGATTGTCTTTAGTTTCCAGGTTAATTTGACCCTCAAACAATTGGAATCCTTAAGTTGTATTATTACACAACCAGTGACCTTTGTCAATACAGTTAGAGGTATTTCGAGTTTATACAAATAATTAGGCTGGTGGAACATTAAAGGTGCCATTTCATAACTGTAAAGGCTAATTTATACTCAGAAACCAGGTTTCTGAGTATAAATGCTGTACCTCTCCAAAATTGTAGGTGACCGCAGAAAGTGCCGTAGACAGGAGGCATCTGATTGGTCAAATCGTGAATTAGGACTAGCTAGAAAAGCAAGCTGCACAAGAACGCTGGGACCCTTTTTCCTCCTGGATCCCCGCTCTTTTTCGCCCTCATGTCCCTCCAATGTCACACAAACTTGCCCCCTCTTCCTACCGCCTCGGTCATATAAAGAACGACAGCTAGTTTGTGATTGTCCCTCTTGCGTTGTGGCATGGTATAACATAGCACAGACAACGCTTCAATACGGGGCATAAATCCAACATTTCTGCGACAAGCTCACTGCGACACACTGCTGTGGGGAGTATAACCAGCCCTTAAGCCATCACCATTTCTTGCTGAACATAACATCATAATAAATGTCTAAGGTTTTCTTATTAGACTACCAGGTGTGAGAGGTTTTATTCTTTTTTGGCTTTTTTATCAGGCTGCCACCCATAGAGCTGACACCCCACTTCCTGTCTGGTGACTGATCTGATTTACTCGTCCACGTACACAGTCTAGGATGAAGAACACTGCAGTGCCGTTATAAACCGGAAAAGATGCTCGGAGACTAATGCTGGCCCACTGGCTTCCTTCAAGCATCTGACCCCCTACCTGCTGGGCTATAGGTACAGGCCGCAGCCCCTCTGCTTCACGGACACCTTCGGAGTCACTTCGCCTCAGCAGAGTCAGCTTAACTAAGTTGCAGGAGTGGATGAGTTTAAGGTCCAAAGCCACACTGACTGTCCCAGTCTCCCTGAAGACAAAGTCCTTCCTCTGGTTTGGGGATCCTTTTGCCAGCAGCCCCATTTGAGGCACCTGGGGGCTGGTCTGATGGAAGAACAAAGGCTTGTTTCGAACTGCTCCTGATGGAAGACCAGTGTTGGACACAGAAGCAGTCATAGAGGAAGAGATGCCAGCAGGGACCCAAAACAGACTGAGAAGACTGATGCCAGTCTCATCACCAAAGAAGCGTACATTGCACTGGGCGGGAGAGAGAATCTCAAAGCCAATTGCTTCCCCGGGGCTTACTGTCGTGGCTCCGGACAGAGATATAGATGTGTCACGATAGTGAACGCCTGGTTTGAAGACCCTAAACATCTCCAAGGAAGTTCCATTTTTGTTAAGATATGCCACAAGCTGAAACCCTTCGCTCACACAAGCTTGGCCCATAGAATACAATGACTGCTGGAACACAAAACGCACTGTCCCGCTTTCTGAAAAACGGATCCACCGATTGTCATGAGTCAGTCCCACTACATAAGGGTCTGAGGTGGAGGCAATGCGGAAGGTTGGTCGGTAGTTTGTGTGATAATGTGCAGAAACAACTGCCTGTGCTGTCATGGCAACAGCCCCGGTATCGTGGGAGAGCCAGAGGAGGCTAAGCAAAGGTGCAGAGGTGTCATAAAGCTGTAGACTTTCAGTGGTTTGGTTGCAGTGATGGCTGGCACGCCGGAGAAAGAGGGACATAACTTGACCAGGGGCGACTTCTGTAACCCCACTGATGCTGACACTTTGAAGAGACCTGCGTTCCCTGTGCTCCACCCGAATGCCACTCAGGTCCCGGCCCTCTGAGCCATCTGTTTGGTTTATACGCAGGCAGACCTGGATGAAGCTGCGACAGCCATGACTAAGGGACAGAAGGCCATCAAGCCAAACCAAACCATGCTGCCTCAGCACCAGCTGCCCGTTCTCTGCTGAAACCAGACCCATATCATCTTTTCCCTCGATGTGAAGCTGCAAGCTGGGGATGTTTTGACCCTTTGGGCTCTGAAGACTCATGGCTCCAGACCATGACCGAGACAAAGCTGCAACATCAGTGGCAGGGACTGAGCAGAGGGTGTCTGTCATGAAGGTGCAGGGGGAAACAACAGGTTCCCCATCACAGTCGTTGCAGGCCTGACACTCATCCATCTCAGAGTTGTAAAAATAGCCATGGCCACACATTCCGGAGTTGGCTTCACGCACTGTCATCCCCTGGCACTTGAATCCACCTGGTGATGCCACCGCAAACAAAACAGGGTAGTAAATTAAACATTCATTATCAATTAAAGGGAAGATGAGTATCAACTGAAAAGTGATGGGAAGAAAAAAAAACTTAACTAAAGTACCTGGAGTGTTAATACACTTCTGCTTATCCCTGCACAAATCTGATATTTCAAGACATTCATCCCGATCCTGTAATAACAAAAAAACTGTTACATCCACTGGCTGCAATGAGCAGGTATGAATATAATACCATCTACTTCTTCCTTCTGTTATTTTCAGTCCGAGAATACATCATTTCAAACATCATGCTCTCCTTAATTATGTTTTTAACACACACCTATTGAAACTGTTTAAAATAAAATATGGTGGAATGTGTTCAGAAAATTCAACTGGTACAGCCCAGTTGTGTTATAAAACTGCACAATAAAAGCAGGAAAATCCTCACCTGGCAGATCCTGTCTGCGTGAACAGAGCATTGAGCAACCAGGAAGAATCCAGCAGGACAAACTGTACACGTTTCACAGCGAGGATGCCCGCTGCTGTAGCTGCAGTACTCCTCAGGACCACAACTCCCACAGGCCAACTCGGGCAGTCCCACCTGATTACGTAAAACATGGTAAAACATTAATAATTCAATCTGGAGGAGGCCCAAGCATCTGTTTGGTGTAGCAGTTTAGGACCGATTTCTTTGTTATTCTTAATGTCTAAATTATACCAATCTCACCTCCATCACGCTGGCTTGCATGTCCACTTTTTGCAATGACAGTGCTTGCTGCCTTTGATGGACTCTAACCTGCCCACTCAGGGCTTCTGTGTGTCTGTCCAGCTCCTCCTGAAGATTCTGGAAGGATGTCTGTTTGATAGTGTCCATCAAAACGCTGTACTGGGCTTTTACCTGTGATTCAAGAACATCTTCCTTACAATGCAATCAATATTCAGAAGACATTATACTTTGATACCAAACTTTTTTTTTAATTCTTTCTTTTATCTGCAGTGGCTTTTCAATGCATTAACATTTGCTAAAAGATGTTCACTGCTAGTTAAGTTACAACCAAACAGCTGTGCACCTATTTGGCAAATGTGTACAATGTCCTCTGATTTGGTAAAACCAGAGTTAAGACTTTGTGCTTATATTCAAAATGCAATGTACAACTGAAATCAACCACTGCATCATTATGTAGGACAGAGAAGCTGGTCAAGGATGTAATAAGTGAGAGATGGACAGAGCCAATTAAAGGACAAAACAGAGAACATGGCTGTATTACTTTCTCAGCATGGGGGCAACTTCTGCTAATGACCTTAATTTTTTTTCATGCAAGTCTACACAGAAGAAATAGATTTAAAAGTGGCATAAGACCGACCAATGAAGACTTGAGAACTGTGCATAAGAACTGTAGGAGACTGTAAACTGCAGAAAAATTTACATTTTAGTTTTATATTTCGATGTGTTTATGTGTTACAATGGCCTACTCAAACTCCAGACTTAAATCTTATTAAGACTTGGTGACAAAGCAGCACAACTCTGTTGCTGTGCTGTTATTTCACAATGAATCCCAATAAAAATATTATAGTTAGAGACAAAACGAGAAAAAGATTAACAAGTTTAAGTGCTTTTGTAAGTAGAGAGTCTCTAATGGCCATTGTCCAAATCAAAGAATCAAATACTAATCTCAGGTTTACAAAGACTGATTTCTTTTCATTGGAAATGAAAAAAACAATATTTTCTAATCAATTACTGCAACCTTACTTGCTCCATTTGCTCAAACATCCTTCTCTGTTGATCTAGTATTTCCCTCTGTTGGGTAACAAGTGCTCCCTGTTGGTCACTGAGAAGCCTCTGGAGTTCTTTCACCTCGTTCTGTTGGCTCTTCAGAGCCTCGAGGAAACTGTCCTGGCTCTTGGACAGTTGTAGCTGCAGAATAAGGGCATCCTCCACTGGAACCTCATTAGACCCTGTGAGAAAGACAAAGACCCTAACGTATGCAACAGTATATTTTCCCTGATTAAGAGGCAGATTTGAGTAATCTTTTCTTAACAATAAAAAGGCAAACATTTATCTGACACTGACCTGGCTTCATGTCACATGCCAGTTGTAAATAGGCTCCACGATTCAACCCAACGTCTGGGAGCTCTCCAAGGAACTGAGCAGCTCTGTCCATCACATGAACAGGGGAAGAGTTCTGTCTCCCCTCATCTCCAGCATGCACCCTGCAGCCATCCCCAACACATGGCTGCTGTTTTTGGCTCACCTGTGTCGGCGATCTACATCCGACCCCTTTGCACTCTCTTGAGGTGCTGTCATCATTTGTGGGACGATGAGAAATTGTGGTTGAACAAGACCCACCAGTGCAACCAGGATGAAACACCTCTGCGGTAATAGTCCTGGGGTTCGTCCTCCTGGTGCCATCAGTTCTCCCATGTTGAGGCTGGCTGTTACTATAGGATGACACCTGGGTGCTCTGAGCTTGATGACGAAACTGAGTGTCCTGCTGGTAGCTCGGATAAACCTGCCCTGTCCTTGATTGTCCAGAGTGGTGAAGTTGCCGTCGTGAAGAGGATACCTCTGTGCGCCCCTGGCAATGTGCTCCGACGCACGGTCTGCTCCAGTCCTGGCCGGGGAAGCAGCGTGTCCCTCGACATACTTCAGATCCACTCCCTGAGTGGAGTGCAGAAATTGAAAGAAGCACAAAAGTTGCACAAGCAGTAATCATCTTGCAATCTTTCCACAGGAAAAATGTTCAGAGGCCACTTGGGGAGGGTGGCCAAAATCTTTACCCGTCTGCCCCTTAGATTTATGGATTATATCTGATCATCTCTGTAAAGGTATAAAAAAAAATTGCATTCCGTCGCAAATATCTACATAACTCAACTTTACTACACTGATACTACTACAGTTTGACTCCTTTGCGCACAGTGCTGCTTCTGGCTTTTTTCTGTGTGTGTCTGGCCCCGCATGTGGTGCTCACTGCAACGTCTAATTGGCAACAGGTTTTGCTCCTAGTCTTAAATTAACCCGTAGCTTTCCCAGACATGCCTTTCCATAGAGTTACTCCATTCTCCAAATATTGACTTTGTTTTGTATTTTACTCTAACTTCTTACATACCATTAAGGGTTGTTGTTGCTGTCCAGACATTAATGGGGGGGAAAAAAATAGGGAAACATTTACCTCTAAACAGAGTGAACTCCTCATCTCTGTCCTCTCTTTGTGCCTTTCATTTGGATGAAAGGATCAGTTGGGTTTTTAACAGGCCCACATTTTCAGAGAGGATTAAAAACTTTAAATACCATCCAGACTTTCATCTTGCTTGAGTACAGGGGCTGTGGTGACACTTTTAGAACATAGTCGTCTTAAAGTGAATGATTAAAACTGAATTTCCTGTTTCATGTCAACTTTATAACAGCTGCCACTCACATTTCCATTTACTTCAGCTTTAAAAACGTCATTTTACTTCACGCGTCTTTCTTTCATTAAAGGATTACTAAAATCAGCTGCGACCTCTTTCAGATGCAAGAACACTTCACACATGAAGAATCAACCTTTATTTTCATTATGAGACCATCACAAAATCTGAAAGCATGCATAACTCACAGAAAAAAATGTAAAACACCTTTAGAAAATATAAACCATCCTAAAAAAACAAAAAACCTCGCTAAATATAAAACAGAGCTTCAAGAAATGTCACAGGAAAAAACTGTCATGATTTTAGTCAAAGATCTGACCCACATGCAGAAAACCAAACAGAGAGACCAGGGGAAGGTTTAACAGGTTTATTGAGAACTGGTAGAGATGGGTCCAGTGCTGCTCTGAACACTGGCAAACCGGGACTGAAAAGTGAAGGAGAAGTTCCAGTGGTAAGTTAAGGCTCAGTGGGAAATTTGAGCTTCAGTTTGCAAAAGGGTATAAAGGCAACAGGACTCACTTTTCCAGAAAAGGTGTCTTTCTCTGAATCCAGTCGGTGTGGGTTGTTCCAGTAATTGACTTGCTCGTTGGAGGGCGGACAGGGTTTACCCAGGTTAAGGTGTTTCTTAGAGGAATGGAGGAGCTGACTGCCACTTAGATTTCCAATGGTACTTGAATAGTTTCTTGTGGAAGCAGTGAGAAGCTCAAACAATCCTTTGGGGAATAGTTGAGCCAAAGCTCCAGTTTGAATCCCCAGCTCAGTTTGAAGCTCAGACGATCCTTCCAGGGGGAGAAGGTCCAAAACATCCAGTTATAAGGATGACTTCATGCCGAGAGGCAAAGACAAAAACAACAAGGTTAAGGCTCAAGTTGACAAAAAACTCAGTTTGACTCAGCAAAACTCAGCTTGGCTAGAGTACCCAAAACTGGCAAACACTCTGGCGTCGAGGTAGTGGCAGTCAGCAGCTTAAGAGTCCTCCGGTAATGAGGCAACCATCCGCAGGTGTGTGAGAGGGCCAACGAGAACCAGGCGCCACCTGGTGGTGGAGGGAAAAGACACAAAAACACAACCCACACAAACTGGATTCCTAACAAAAACTCTCAGGATAAAAAAAT